CCTTTCAGTCAATCTGACATGCACGGTTGGAAAAAAAAAAAAAAAAGGGAGGGGGATGATTTTGGCTCTTATAGAAATTTTGATGCCTAAATTCAGTATAGGAGGTGGGGATAATAGATCGTTTCAGTTATTGAATGTAGATTTCAGACTTGTGCTGTAGAAATATAGAATACACTCCAAATAACTATTTTACAATTTTTTGCTTAGTGTAAAAATTTTGAAGCAGTTGCCAAGGCACAATGCATCCTTACGATCAACACATTTACAACATGGCTTTTTATATCTTCATGTACATTTCACATTTTTTTCTTATTATATATCTATATTAATTTTTTCAATTTTTTTTTATTTTGATTTGTTTTTGCAAAGATAGCATTATGTTTCTTAAATTTCTAATGTTTATTTCAATTACTTTGAGTTCTATTTCATAATTCCAACTAAGATTACCACTGTTACCTTCGTATTTATTAATTATTGTTCATTGAACGTGAGTTGGTTTGTTCACCTTGAAAAGTCAACTAATTTCCGATCAATAGCGATAAGTACTTGCTCTTAATTTAATTTCTTTTTCAAAGTTTGAAATTTTTTTATTCATGATTTAATTCAAGTCCCCATAAAACATTTTTAATAATTTGCATTTAAGTTACTTTAAAACACAATTTTCGGAATTAAACTTCCTACATATGAGTTCACTCTTTTTTGATACTTCTAATAAATTTATATTAGGAGATAATATAATTAATATTTCTTTAGTAAATAAACCGTTATATATATATATATATTGTTTCAAAAGAAGAAATAGAATAAATAAAAATTTAATTAATTCTTTGCGCCATTGCTACAAGGAATGAAATTTTAATTTTTAACAAACATGCATATACGTAAAAAAGCAAATTTAAAGTTAAAATAATGTGCAAACATATAAAAGATTTAATTTTCGAACTAATTTACAATATCATTTAAATTCAGATAGCATAAGTAAATCAAGTGCAAAACCAAACCATGAAAATAAATTCACCAATTTAGCAAATTAAAATTAATCTAAAAATTTTTTTAAAAAATGCATAAGTGAATGACTGTTGAGCAGGCAGGAGACAGACTTATCAAGGGGAAGTTGCCTCCAAACCTAACTCTTCAATCATTCAATTCATGTTTCGTCATTCATGCATGCAAGGGTAAAAGTCAAAACCAAAAGTGAATGCATAGTGAAGTATGTCTAAAAAGAAATACCAACTAAGTGGTACCTTGAGTAATTAGCAATTAAAAATTAAAGGTCTAAAAGGAAAATACCAATAATGAAGTATTTTGAGAAATAAGCAATGTAAAGTTCAGTATTAAATTAAATTTTCCAGAAAATTAATTTAGAAACCAATGCATTTTAGAAACCCTTGTCTACAGAAACCTCCTCGACACGAGTATGCATATTAATCAAAAAGAAACTAAAAAGGAACAAAATTAAATAAACCAATAAGAAACTAAAAAGAACTAATTCATAATTTATAAAAAACAAATATATACTTAAAAATATAATTCCACATCTAGAAAATACTTAAAAGCAAGTAAATAGTAAGTTTTAATTCTAACTTACCTATCATATAAGCATTGGGGTCTGCAAAAGTATTTCCTAAGTGATGTAAGTGTGCTCTGCAAATAATATAAATGGCGCTAATGTAAGTAGAGTGTCAAGCTGCTATCTTTAATATTAAAATATTTAAATAATATAAATCTAGAAAAAATCAAAGAATATCCTAAAAGTATGTAATTCAAGTTTTAATTTTAACTGACCAACTATTTATGATAGGGAGTTTAGTAGCTGAGCCAATTAAGTGGTTATTGTGAATTAATAAATGTACATTTGTTTGTAATGTTAAATGTGTGAATTGTGTAAATAATGCAAATAATAATGTTAAGTGAAAAAATTATTTTTTTTTGTGAAAACTGCAAACTAAAAAGTAATTAAGTAAAACTGAAATGTTTTAAAATTTTAAAAATGTTTTAAAGTAAAATTTAAAAAAGTCTTAAAAATTCCCCAAATTTTTTTAAGTAAAATTTAAATTTTGAAATGAATCCTTTAAAATTTTTTTATTTATTAAAAGAAAGAAAATATTGAAAGTTTTAATAAACTTGATTTCAACTGGTATATCAAAACTTTACTAAATACTGGCTAAAGTATGAAAAATTAGAAGATTAAAATCTTCACTCAATTCGGGCTATAACTGAGACTTTTTAAAAGAGTTGGCCCTTTATTAGTAAAAGGAAAGTATCCAGTATTGATAAATATACATATTTACAAATTTATTTACAATAAAAATTTACAAGATAATTCCTTTACTCTTCTATATCCTCTATTACCCTCCAGCTAAGGTTTTAAGTAATGTTATACCACAAAGAGCTAAAAAATTATAAAGTAAAGTTAATGCCTGCTTTTTTAATATATAAATTAATAAATTTTGGTGGTACTTGGTTATCAACTTGAACTTTAATTAGCTTTATTATTTCTTCCTTTAAATCTTCTATTTCAGTACATATATTTTTTATTCTGATTATTTGGCTATGAAACGTGTTTTCTATTACTTTTCTAGAGATATTAGAGTTCCAATTAATTAGCTTAATAGTATGAAAATGGAAATTCCATCTTTTATCATATAATTTAATTTTGCTGTGTTTAATAATTAGCAGGGTTAGGTATTCAATAGTATCTTTATTCATATTCGTTTTATTAAGCGTTAAACTATTTGGGTAAATTTTGAATTGCTCAAACGCAGAATTATTATTGAAAGTTATAATATCATCTATGTGTCTAAATGTATGTGCAAATAGCTTTAATTCATTCTTATATAAGCTTAGTTGGAATTTATATTCATAAGTAAAGAGAAATAGGTTACATATTTGTGTAGAACTGTCTGCTCCCATAGGAATTCCTCTCACTTGCTGAAAGATCTTATTATTGAATTTAATGTAGTTATTAAATAATGCACAATTCAGATAAGTATTCCATTTTTCAATACAAAGGATGTCAATTATGTCAGGAAAAAGTTGTGGGAGTTGCATTAAACTAGTAAAAATTTCTTCTAAAGGTTTTCAAAGTCATAGCAGTTAATGTTCTTGATTTCTAAACTTTTAAATCTGCTGAAAACTGGAGCATTATTATAAATAATCCAACTATAGTTGTGTTACTTGTTAACGAGTTGTTGGATTAAATTATAGATTTTTTAAGTTTAATTGCAAATATGTAATCTATATTCTTTTTATAATTATTTGTACCATTGGCAATAAATCTAAATTTGAGTGGTGATTTACGAAATTTTGGGAGAGCATATAGATTAGCTAATCTATTGTAGTTAGATGGTTGTGAAATTTGCAGTTTCTTATGAAATGCTTTTAGCTTTTTTGCAATAACATTTTCTTGTATATTGGTGAGTTTGTAAGTAATGGCATTATTCAGTTCAGTATTAATTAATGAGACATAAAAAAAATTTTCATATTATGCTAAAATTATTATTGGCTTTGTCAATTTTAGTTATGATGAATTTTTTTACGTATATACATGTTTATTAAAAATTATGTAGGTATATATATATATATATATATGTCAGCAATAATTTCCATGTACACGGGCTTAATTTTTATATAGGATTTTTTTTTTCACATAATGGAGGGTTTTTTTTTTTTTTTTTAAATTAATGTATATTGCAGTTCAAACGGCCAGTTGCCTGGAATGGAAGCCTTTATAAGTAACTACCAAAGCAACACTTAACCACTCATGAAAATGGTGATGCTCAAATAGCTTGATATATGTGTATTAGGTATATGTGAGGTCTTCCAGTTTGTCTAAAGTAAGAAAATTAGAAATATAACAACAGTAAAGCCTTCCCTGAAAAAAATCAATTATGTGGACTCTAAAACACAAAAATTTTTGGACTGAAATTTTTTAAAGAACTCTAAAATAATATCAAAGTTTATATTTTGCAATTATGTAAATAATTATTTTGCTCAAAATTTCAGGATTTGTATTTTTCAAATTATTTCTCTTCATTTGCTAATGCTTTAATGCTTTCTCTCTAAAAACCTTTTTCTCTCACCCAGCTCTTTTTTTTCTTGAAGGGAGGGAATATGTAAAATATAAAATCTAGCTTTCAAATAATACATTAATAGCCCTTTAACTCCTGTTTTCATTCTAAAAATAACAGAGCAATGAATTTTCTTACTAAACGAAAAAGATCCATCATCTAATCCATATTGTGCACTTATTGATGAAGTCTGAGCCCGGCATCTGGACATTAAACTGTCATGTAATCTGAAATGGCATAAAAGGTTAATTGCATCGTAACTCTCTTCTGTATTCCCTTCTACTTCCAAACACTTGTGTTGCTTGCAGTTTTACTTTTTTAATTTCGTTAATTGTTTAAAATGTAAGTTGTATGAAATTGGGGGGTGCACAGTGAAAATGTGCATTATCCAAGAAATAAAATTTCTTGTAGAATTTAGGCCATGTCTGAAGGTTTTTTGGTCTATGCATCCATCGTTCTAACTATGCAGCAAAGTCTTCACGTTACAATACAGTCCCCTCCGACGCCAATCCGTTGCAATTCTCACCAAGTCATCTTACTTCAATAATAACGCAGTTTTATAACAATAATGGAACAGTTTTATTACATCTATATATGTCAGCATTCAAATATATTTTCAATTTTGTAAGAAGATTTTTCTGAGTTAGTAATATATTTTAATTAAACACAATAGGCACATTTTCAAAAAATCACAGTAAAGACTAGTAAAGACAATCAGTAATCTATTATTAGATGATGTAACATATCATTAGACAGTAATTATAATTAGATGATGACAAGGTAGAAATAACTATTGTTAGATGATGACAGATTTAGAAATATTTTCCACCTTTTTTCTACTGATATTAAGAACCATCAAGAGCATGCATATAATAAATATAATAAAATTTGTTTCTGATAGTATTTTAAATACATATAATAAATAACCAGTTAATGAAAAATAATTTTATTAGTAAAAATACAGTTGTTGAATACCAAGAAGAATACAAAATTTACAGAATATATGAAGAACAATAAACAGAATGAAATGTGTTGCAAAATTCAAATTACTGCAAATCCATAGGTATTCGATCACATTTCCACTTTTGATTTTCCTTTCTTGGCAAACCATTCATCACTTTTATCTGCAGCAATAGCCTACAAAAAATTAGCTAGTAATTAAAATTTTATATTTTTTAAGAAAAAATAAAATACAGAATGAAACCTTACAGATTAAAAACTTTTTAAAGAAATACTTTTATTGTATATTTAAGTCTAATATATTTATTTTATCCTTTTTCAATAACACATAATTCAGAAAATTATAAAAGGTGCACCCATAAAGTAACCAGACAAATTAAAAATCTAAGCGATAAAATAAAATAGGGGAAGAATAAATATGTTTACAAACAGTAACATCTCAACTCTCATTAAAGCCTGCAGAAACTCGTTATTGTCATTTGCATACCAAAACACCAGAGTTATTTGCATTTATCGAGAAGACATTGTGATACAATGGCTTTAAATGTGAGTGCCAAGCACTAAAGTTGAACCAAAGACAGGTCGCACTTCAGCGTCAAATGTTCACATGTATTTTGCGAACAGTTAGTTCCAGTGTCTGTAAACAGTGTTTCAATGTCTTGAATAAATGTTGGAAAAATTGAATAGACTCCTCGGGTGACCAATTTACTCAATAAATTTCTTTTATTCAATAAATATATTTGAAGGTTATTAATCTTTTTCTTATTTATAAAAAATTGTTCGGTTTCTTCATGGGTGCACCTTGTTAACTTTATAACAGTTTTCTATAAGTGAATATACAAAGGGAACCTTCAACAGCACAAAATAAACATTAAATATTAGTGAGGGGAGGGGAAGAATAATATTGAATAAGAAACAAAACTTCATGCAAAACTGTCATAAGACCATTGCATAAACCATTTCAGTTTGTAGTAGTTCATACTATGGAATTCTAAACTGCATTTCTGTTTACAAGAAAAGTATGTAAATTTTAGCTGTAGAAACATAAAAATACTGCTGTTTTGGGATTCACAAGCATAGGCTTATGGTATTAAATTGAAATAACTTTTTTCCGCAAATGAGGATATTGTTTTGGTGACTCAAAATATTATTATTAAAAAACTTCATTGTTATCTTTTTAAGCAAGATTTATTTTCATAAAAATTTCAGATCTTCTTACATTTGTTATTCCACTGTTAAAAAACATTTTATTCTATTCTATTAATTAAATTAACTAAACTACAGTCAAAAGTTGTTAATTCGGACACCCATAATCCCGACCTCAAAGCTACAAACTTTCTGCGCATGCGTCTCTTCGACGCATGCGCGTAAGATTTTTACGGCTGCAAATATGCATGTGCGCATGCCCAAAATATGTTTACGCTTGCGCGTTTAATGTATAACGGACGGCATAAGTTAAGCTAAAATTATCTAATTCAGTCAATGTTACAGATTGCGTTGTTCCTTAATCTTCGAATTGGATCTGGCTTATTATTTTTGGCAGACTGTTAGAGCAATTTTATAAAAGTAAGCTTGAACTTTCGATTATGTCAAATAGAATTTCTGATGTATATATTTACTAATATGTAAAGGATCTACAAAGCGAAAGTATGTTTCGAAGTCCATTAAACAAAAAGTGGAATTGCTGCAAAAAATGGATAAAGGCATATTCTTTGTTTATCTAACCATTCTGAAATCTGCTTATCAATTTTACGCTGGTCTGCGGCGGGGGGACGCCGCAGCGCGCAATGAATTGGAAGTTGATCTGTCAGCACTATTCTTATCTTCAGGGCAGATGTTTTTATTTTATTTGGCTTATAATTCCTTACTAAATGAAGTATTTCATCTCGATGTACTCCGTCTTTGTATGATTTAAATCAAATTCCTCGTCATTATAATTCGCTTTTGATAGCGAAGAAAGTAAAGTAAACAAATAAATATTAAGCTTTTTTTTTGTAAATTTTGATACTCTTTAAATCATAATTGTTCTTTATTTCATAAATTATGGTTTCATATTTTTAATTTTATAATTTCTGCATGCCATCTTACCAGATTTAAACTGATGATCTATAATCCGGAATCGCCGAAGTCTCGACGAGTCCACATTAACGACTTTTGACTGTATAATAAATATTTCTAATAACTAAATGAAGATTTAGTATACCGCTCAGAAACTTTTGGCAAACTTCGAACTAGATGGATTATTTTGTGCAAAACCAAAAGCTGATAATTGCAGAATGTAGGCATCAAACCTCAGGTAGATCTAAGATCCCTGCTTGTGGAAATAAGTTGATTTCGTAATAATCATGTGGAACTATGATCTACATTCATACATTTATGAATTTACAAGGTGTTTAATATACCTCAATGCCATTATGTTTCCTCTTACAGACCATGAATAAAAAATGGGTATTTTGATTTCAATGCACATTCAAATGGAAAATAACATCCAATTTCCTATAGGACATCATATGTGTCACAAAAGTAGTAGAATGAATACTAACATGAGTACTTTTGATACAGTTTAAATTTCAAAAAGATATTCTTTTTTTTTTTAACATTTGGAAATGTGATTTTTTTATGTGTGTGACTCTAGTAATATCAATATCTTGTCTTCTTCAGCACATTTCTAAACAATAACACTGTCATCAGATTATAAACTGAGCATGTAATTTTTCTAATAAACATTTAGAATTTTCCTAATAATTATACAATAAATATGTACAGTCAAAAGTCGTTAATCCGGACTCATTGGGGCTTCGGCGATTCCGGATTATAGATCATCAGTTTAAATCTGGTAAGATGGCATGCAGAAATTACAAAATTAAAAATATGAAGCCGTAATTTATGAAATAAAGAACAATTATGATCTAAAGGGTATCAAAATTTACAAAAAGAAAAAGCTTAATATTTATTTGTTTACTTTATTAAACATTTCTTTCAATGTAAGTTGCTTCGTTTCATGTGATAATACTTTCTCTTTAATTCTATTAAACACACATAATTTCTTGTTTAGTTACAAAGTTCCGCTGTTCAAGTCCTAAAATTGGTGTGTTGAGAATACCGACTAATTTGTCAATCGAAATGTTTTCGTTTTCAATAACCTCTGGGTCACTTTCTTCACTATCGGAAGCGAATTATAATGACGAGGAACTTGATTTAAATCATATCAAAGAGGGAGTACATCAAGATGAAATACTACACTTAGTAAGGAATTATAAGCCAAATAAAATAAAAACATCTGCCCTGAAGATAAGGATAATGCTGACAGATCAACTTCCAATCCGCGACGTGAAATTGATAAACAGATTTCGGAACATACTTTCGCTTTGTAGATACAAATTACATATTAGTAAATATATATCGGAAATTCTATTTGACATAATCGAAAGTTCAAGCTTACTTTTATGAAATTGCTCTAACAGCCTGCAAAAAATAATAAGCTGGATCCAATTCGAAGATTAAGGAACAACGCAATCTGCAACATAACTGAATTAGATAATTTTAGCTTAGCTTATACCTCCGTTACACATTAAACGCGCATGCGCACAAACATATTCGCAGCCGTAAAGGTCTTATGCGCTCTTGTAAACGGCTGTGGGCATGCGTGAAAGCGACCCATGCGCAGAAAGTTTGTAGCCTTGAGGTCCGGATTATAGATCATTCCGGTTTATGGGTGTCCGAATTAACGACTTTTGACTGTATTACTAAATAATAACAAAAAATAACTTTCCGAGGTCAATTTTTCAGAATTCAGTCATTTAATTACTGCAATGAAATAGCAATTCTCAAATGACATAAATATCATATTCCCTGGAGCATGGCAAATTCTTTATACAGTAGTGGATCAAAAACCCATAAGACTTAGGACCCAATTATCTGGATTTAGTTTAGGACTTTGAGACATTTGATACCTGGACTTCACTGAGGTGTGCAGATTTTAAAGTTTTGCATATTTCAAGCCATAAATAAACATATTTAGATCTGAAAAAAGGCCCATATAAACATTTTGTTTACATTTCTATACAGAAATATATGACAAATGTGCTATAATTGTACGTAAAAAGAAAATAGAAAATTATTTAAAAAAAATTTTGGACATGTGTCTACAATAGTTTTTTCTAAGGTCAGTTTTTCAGATCTCAGTCATTTAATTACTACAATGAAATAGCAATTCTCAAATGACATAAATATCATGTCCCCTGCAGCATGGCAAATTATTTATACAGAAGTAGATGTAAAACCCCAAAGAGCTTAGGACTCGATTATCTGGATTTATTTTAGGAATTTGGGACATTTGATACCTGGACTTCACTGAGGTGTGCAGATTTTAAAGTTATGTATATTTCAAGCCATAAATAAATAAGATTTAGATCTGAGTCGGAAAAAAAAGCACATATAAACTTTCCCCCCCCCCTCTTCTTCATATCTATTCAGGAATGTATATTTCAAGCCATAAATAAATAAGATTTAGATCTGAGGGGGGAAAAAAAGCACATATAAACTTTTTTTCCCCCTCTTCTTCATATCTATTCAGGAATGTATGATAAATAAGCTATAATTGTACATGAAAAGAAAATAGGAAATTATTTTTAAAAATTTTTGGACATATGTCTACAATAGTTTGTACTATAAAAATAGGATGTTCTAGTTTGAATCACACCCTACTTCCTAATCAGTTGCTCAGGTTTTTTTGTTCAAAATTTGTTTTTTCATTATTACTTGCAGAAAAATCAATTTAGAAATTGCTATTTTGAGATAATGAAAAACTACTATTTTTAGTTCCTGTTGCAATGGCATTTAAAAATTCTGGTACTTTATCATTAACAGGACAGATGCATTCCATACATCAAACATATCATCATACAGTATCAAACATAAATGCTGCAATGAAATGTAGCTTGAAATAATAATGGCAATGCTAGCAATGTATTCAAGGTGCATCATTTTTTGAAAACAATCATACTTAAATATCTGAGAAAATTATAATTTCCATGAAGTGAATAATTCCCTCAAAACAATTTTGGGTTTATATTTCACCCCCCCACACACACACACACAAATGTTGGCTGCAATGCCATTTTGGTGCTATGTTAGTATAATTTCATAGTTACTTAATCAAAATTATTCACTATGGGTAGTTCCTTTTTCACGAAAAAATTTAAAGGCAGATTCTTTATCACTTAGCCATTGCCAAATCATAAAATTAATCTTGATTCCTTCATGAAAATCTTGTAGGAAAAATGAGCCTAAATCAATCATGATGAGTTACAATATTTGGCATAGTTCATGGTGTAACCACTGGCATACTTGTGAAAACATTTTGATTCCTGCCCTGTTGACAAAAATGTACCATTTACTTTAATACAAACAATGCAAGGTCTTCCAACTCTCCCTCATTTATGATCGTCATGTCCATTTATTTCTATTTCATTCCACTTATGTCCATTTCATTAACTACTTTCCATTTCATTCCACTTATGTCCATTTCATTAACTACTTTGCATTTCATTCCACTTATGTCCATTTTATTTCAGATTGTAGTTAAAGTCAGCTTTCATTCTTGCACTTTTCACAAAGTGAAACATGCTAAACGGATATAAAGTGGGAAAAAAATAATTACAGAATATGACCACCTTCCACAATTGTCATTATCATAGTTATAAAACAAGCCAGATGGAGGAAAATGACCCTGAAATACGTATTCTAAAGTAACAAACTATAATGTAGTCTTGCTCAATTAAAACAGAACTGAGATAAATTTCCGCTATGCATATAAAGCCTTTTCATAAAATATTCATTTGGGAATAGTTACAATAGCAATAATCAATAAAATAGGTTGCTTGTTTCAATAACGACTAAGCAAATCTGTAATTAATATCTACATGTCATCAAAAATCACTAAAGCTATTTGTATTTCATTGTTGACATATGAGAAGCTTTGTGGATTTTATGTCAGTAGATTGTTGGTCTTCTGTTATATACCTAATGCAATATGTGAACTCAAAAAAATTTATCGGACTCTGCTCAAAATAAATGAATGAGAAAATTCAAAGTTTTCAAATCAAAATGCACTTTTATACTCAGATTTTATTTGCTGGAATAAATAGTAAAATTCCTTTTTTTAAATACACATCTAAATTAAATTATATGTAATGTATGAAAAAAAGTTTTTTTACATAAACTATATCATAAAAAAAGATTTAAACTAAGTGAAATATCTACATAAATTTTTACTTACATCATTTAATAATCCTTCAGCTTTTGGATCAACTTTAGATAATTCTCTGAAGGCTTCATCACCAACAAAACATATTTCGTGCCCATCCTTAAAGGGAATAAATCATAATTATTATAAAAACTTTATAAGGTATTTCTTCTGCCTTCTTAGTGTGCCTTTGTGGTGTAGTGATTTGCATGCTGGATGCGTACTCCAGAGGTCCGCGGTTCAATCCCTGGTGAAGGCGTTGCTCATTTTTCATCACTCCTGCTTCTAATTAACCTAATGATTCTACACTGGCACCTGAACTAAAAAGGGTGGTGGATGATGATTCTCCACAACCAGGATTTGGCAATTGGGTCCCCTAATCCCCAACCACCCTTTAAAAGGGGGAGTATATAAGGAATTTCTCCCACTTCTTAGCGTGCTTTCTGGGTGTAGTGGTCTGCATGCAGGGCGCATATTCCAGAGGCCGCGGTTCGATTCCCGGTGAAGGCGTTACTCATTTTTCATCACTCCTGCTTCCAATTAACAGGGTTCACACATTTCTGCACACGGAAATCAAGGACTTTTAAGGACCATTAATGAAAAAAATTAAGGACCTATGAGCAAACGGGAACTGAATAAATTCAATTAAAAATATTATTCTATGCCTGAATTTCACTTTTGTAATACCATCCTAAAAAATAAAATAGATCACTAAATAGTATGCATCATAACTAAACATGAATTAACATAATTATTAATAAGTTTGAGAATAAAATAAACTTTATGCAATTTATCAAGTAGCATTAAATATTTTACACTTATAATAGTTGGACATATTTGAAAGAAGATAAGTGACATTTATGTTTTACTAATAGTTAGCTTTATGTTGATTTTTTTATCTCATTTTGTCACATACTTGGTCAGTCTAGAGGTTTAGTAAATAGCAGGTACTGGATTTTATGTCAAGCGACATAGGTTAAAATGAGAAGTAAGATCATAATCAGCATGATTCATAAACAAGAGACTGAATATTGTCAACCCCTGCTAATTGTCCAGAAAAGAGACATGCTGATTCGAACACCTGAAAGGCCTGATGTAAGCCCGATTGGGAAAGTATTGAAATTTAGTCAGGCTCTGTTTGATGCAGTTAGTGTCATAGCTTCGTATACAGTTCCAGAGGTTGTAACCCAGTTAATATACTTTAAGGTCCCAATAAGCCATTAAAGCACCAGAGGTGATACCATTAAAGCCATTAAAGCACCAGAGGTGAGGTTTGTATTATTTTAAGCCTCACTAGATGCAAAGAATAAGTTTTACTTGCATTTTTACATTTTTGTGTTTTATCTTGTGACTACAGTGAGTATTAATGCAATAACTCTCTTTAATATGTAGCGATAATTTTTAAGGGTAAGCAGTTAATTACAAATGATTAAATTAGGTAATTATATAACCTTAGTCATTATGGATTTACATGGCTACTACTAAATTTTATTTTTTAACAATAATTGTTATAAAAGCCCTATTAAAATCACAATCTAATAGAATTTCACAGTTTAAAATGCAAGTAATTTATGACATTGATTCTTAAACGATATTAGGATAATTACACATTAAAAGCTACAAAACATTCTTGTTTTGTAACAACAACACTCAACAAAATATTTACCTGTCATTTTAATTTAAAGGCCTTCCCAAACATTTTGGCTACTTTATATTAAGCATCTTTTCTAACAATGAGAGATTTGTCTCAGTATGCAATCTAATGCTCTCGCTAGTTTCTGTGTGCTTTATCTCCTAACTTATCAAACCTCTCCACAATGTACCTATAAGGGTTTACTTGATCTGGTAAAAGTTAAATAGTCCCAAACCCTAGACAGACGTGGAGCAAAATATCACTATGTCTAAAAGTAACTACAATATCAGACAAAAGTTTAATTAAGCCTCTTATTTAAAAAGAATTTAGAACATAAAGGCATGTTCCGATGCTAACAAAATCAATTATAGCTCACAGTGACGTAATTAAACAAGAACAGTTAAATTCAAATTAAAAATGAAGACTAGTGGTCAAAGATTATACAATTTAATTTCAATTTAATCTGGCTCAGTAACTCTATCATATGAGGAAATAGAAATTGAAATTATAGTAAAGGCTGAAATTATAAACAATTGGGTAATTTACATAATAATAACTGCACGTCTTTGAAGAACAATTTTCTTAATGTATTTATTCAGTTTCTTTCTTCAGCTTGTTTCCTTTTCATTTTATATTTTAAATAAGGATTACTGTTATTCTAAAAAACACTAAATGCATTTAGAATGTATAGAAAAAGTGGCTAATTTTATTTCTTTAGTAATGTGAACATTCAGAAGAAATATGAAATATTTATGGTAAAGGCTGGTTACAGAGCTGTTGTGGCAAAATTTTTAGAATTTAGTGACATACCATAAAACAAAATCTAGAAATGGCAAACTTTTAGAATTTAGAGCAGGGATTGGAAGCAGAATTTAGAAAGGCACTAGGCAGCAGAATTTAGGATCCACTGAGGATCCATCATGTGGAAAATGCCTTGTGCAGCTCTGTTTATGATGCATAAAGACATATTAGATGAATCTTTTACATTGTAAGTTTTCAATTTCTTTATTAATAAAAAAAATCCCTTTCTATAATTTGCCTGCCCAAATGATAAGATTAGACGCATTTTTGATATTTTCCATGCTGATGTATAGTGAAAAATAGGGAAAATAAAGGGGAATAAACATATTAAGAAAAAGATTCTAGTATCAGGAGTAAAACATTCAAAAATTATGTTTTCATTGTTCTTCCAGATGTTCTCCAAAAAAATAAAAAATTTATTGCAAACTTTCTGTAAAATACATCCATTACGTGTTGATACTATGTAGATACTTTTCATTTTGTCACATATTTCTCGAATCTTCTAGAATCGTGGGTCTATAAATCTTGCCTTCAAATCCTTCTAAACTTTCCAAGCTGCAATGTCTAAAATACTAAACAAAAATTATCCCTACCAATTCTGTAACAGCAAAAAGCCAGAAATATTTTGGGAGAAAAAAAAAAAAAAAAAAAAAAAAAAAAAAAAAAAGGAGGGGAAAAAGTGTAAAATTAATTTTATAGAGAAAACTGATGCATTTTCTGAGAATTTTGAATATTCTGAGACAATTACATGGGAAAAACGCTTACTATGAAAAAATTAAAAAGAAGACATTTTTAATTAATTACATAGCTAATTTTGCTTTTGCTAAGAGCTGTTTCGTAAATTATGCTTTATAGCATTATACCTTGTGTATTTTTCAGATTCAAAATATTGTATAATAAGTTGCCAAAATGAAACTTTATAATATGAGAGCAAAAAATAAAAATGTCTTATTTTAATGTTATTTTTAAATATAATTTCAGTATGTTACCATTATTTTAATGAATTTTATCAATGTTATGATGTTTTAAAAAAAATCGTCGACAAATTTTCAGATCTCGGAATTAAAAAATTTTCTATAGAAATGATCTTAAAATCGCCAAAATGTTGACAAATTGCCAAATTTAGAACCGTTTAATAAAAGAATTCATATCCCCAAAAGCGAAAACTTGTTTAAGAGCTCTTTATTACAAAAAATGAATTTCCAAATGCTTATGTTTAACTTCTTGCTTAGAAACTCGAGTATCCCATCATTTATATTAGAAATAGAAACAAATTATAACATATGAACACATTCAAAAGATAACCATATATGTCAGTTAATCACCAAAAATATTCCCCCAAAATGCTAATTCACATTCAAAATGGCAGTCATAAAAACAGACAGAAATTTCAGATGATTAAAATTAAGGACTTTCCGCTGATTTTGGTCAAAATTAAGGACTTTTAAGGATCAAAAATTGATTCCAAAAAATTTAAGGACTTTTAAGACTCTTAAGGACTGTACGAACCCTGAATTAACCTAAAGATTCTACAAGTTCTTTAAAAAACGTTATCAAAACTTTATCTGCAATTAAATCTCTACTTATAATCAAGAGACACTTTTAAATAATAATAATGATAGAAAAGTGTTTCTAATTACTTTCCACAAATAGAATTCTTTTTCTTACTTGTTAATGTAAAAAAATTTGAAAAATTGAATAATAAATTATCATTTTTAAACGCAAAAATATTATTACTGTGTTATCAAATTTACTTTTAACATAATCATTGCAATTTAAATCTCAAACTTATTATCAAATGTAATAAAGATATAATAAGACAATGTCTTTCTAAATATATAAAAAGCATATTACATTTGTTTACAGAAGCATGGAAAATAGGTTATTTGAATATGGCAAAGCAGATGAGAGCTCTTTATATTTACTAAGAATATAAAGTTTTTAAATAAAATTTTTTAAAAGAACTACACAGAGTTTCACTTCAAATCATAATACACATAATTACACTTCAAAGTTATAATAGTTACACTTCAAATCTTTTATATATAATTCTAATGTCAATACCAAATAAAAAAAAAATTAGCAATTTTGAAAACTCATTTTAAAAACATAAAAAGAGTATTTATATTTTTAATTAAATATATTTGCATTAACCTTTTAACCCAAAATAATCTCGGTCACAGCACTGGTCGAATATTACTCGGTGTAATTTATTATATTTTTTATTTGTTTATTATTATTATTTTAGTGTATTGTATTGCTATATCGAATATATAACGTAAGAAGTTTGTTTCGGCTTTAATTCAACAGATGGTGGCACTTTACTGAAGGTTTCAAAGGATAGATATTTATGTTCAAAGTGCACAGCATTTTTTTTGATTTTGTGATTGCGAGGCAAACATTTCATTTCTGAAATTAAAAAAATTGACAATTTATACACCAAAAGCATCAAAATAACTTGACAATTAAAGGGTTAAGTACTTTCATAGAATTAAAAAATTAATAATAATAATACAAGTATATATAAAAGCATAACTTTAACACAAATCCTTATTTGCAACTATACTTACAGGATCTGCTAAGATAACAACATGAACTGTTGCTTTCCCAGGAGTGTCTAAACTAATTAGAGGTGTTAAGATTTTACAGCCAGCTGTTTTCACCTGCTCTTGGATACCTGCTAACTGAAATCACATGTTTTCAGTTAAGTGAAACAAATCACTATAGTTTTAAAATCTTTTAATGAAAAATCATCTATATACATTTTAAAAGATAAACATATATACCATATTTATCTGCATATTTTTCACTTTAATATTTTCAGTACATAATTTAAACCTTTGATTTATTTAAACACATTTCAGTTTAATAACTGGATTCAAGAAGTGGATTCAGTCACAAAAGTAACCAATTACAGCAATTTCTCAAATTGGTAGTTTTTGCACATCCATACCAAGGCTGTTCACTCAACCTTTCAAAATCCTAGTTAAAGACAATTATTTTTTCTCCTCTAGAGACAAAAAACAAACAGAAACGGACACAGAGTATAAAAATAGCATTCTTTGAAAATTTAGTCTCCAAGAGATACTGATGAATGACAATTATAAAATACAAGGATCGTTCGAGATTGACCAGGATTTTCGTACGTAAATAATCGATGAATAGCTGGATCATGATCGAACTTGCTTAAAATTCCTTCTTGCACTTTAGCAAACATTTATTAGTTAATTAAAAAATATGAAATACAGAGGTAAAAATATTCCTCAATTCTAGTATTCACAAACCATGATGTGAGTATGCGTTTCAAGCTTTTAACTTTTGAAAACACATGTCTGCTATGCTATCATTATCCAATGATGTGCAGATGCTTTATATTTTATCACAATATTTTCTGCTGCAGAATTTAAATTTCAGAATTTTCTGAATCGGTTTTTGCTGATGATTATGCTTTATGACCCGATGCTTTCAAGAAGCGAAATTTCTAGCATTTTCGTCAACCATATTTTTGATGTGATGTTCTTGCCTGTTCTCAAAATCTGTACGATTGGAATGAACCACAATCCACTGCCAGTTAACTGTTCATTTCTTCAAACTAAAATAGCTATATTAACAGACATTAAACCAAATCACAATGTTTAGGTAATATATATCTAACCAAGCACGTGTTTTTAAAATATTTCGCTTTTCTTTACACAAAAGTGTTAACAATTTTTTTTTTTTTTTTTAAATTTACACAATAAACAAAATACTTTCACTTAAAAAAAGTGAAAATAAAAAAGTTGAGTCATGCTAATTATGGAAGAAATTTTGCTAAAATTGCATGCATAGCCTAATTTTTGCGGTAATTAATGCACAATAACACGCTGAACAAATACTAATTCAGAAGTCAAACAACAAAAAAATCAGTGTTATATTTTCAAATTTTCACAGAACTAGTTTCGATGGTTTTACCGAACCACCATCCTCAGCTGCAAAAGCGCAAATGAATGAGATAGGATATAATGATTAGATAAGATAAGAAAGCCTAGACAGAAAATAAGCTAGTGGCGCCATCTGTTGATGAAACCAGAACTAAAACATAATTTCTTTAAAAGGCCGAAGGCAAAGATGGATTGGAATTAGGATCGTTAACTAGAACAGAAAGATTTTTTTGAATGTGAAATGCCTCTAGAAAATCCAGTTCTCTAATGGAAGATGTTTTTTGAATAATTTTGGCAGCAGAAAAATTGAAAGTGGGATTTTTGAACCAACAATGTTGGGCACTTCTGTGCAGAAGACTTCTGTGTTTCCTTTTTTCTAACATATGCCTCATGTTCTTCAAAGTGAAATTTTAAGGCTCTCTTTGTTTGGCCAATGTAAATTAAACCACACTGGCAAGGAATCCTATAAATACCCCAGGAATTCATATCCGGAATGGAGTCCTTGAGTATGGAACTCGGAATTTTATTGATGGGAGAATAAACGACCCAAAATTTAAATTTCTGCAAAATATGAGCAACTTTACAGTATTGATGGAAAGAAGGGAATGACCAACAGAATTTTTATAATATCCTAAAAACAAGATGAATTCTATTGAACTAAATGAATTCTATTGATCCTGCTATTCAGTTCACTTTTGAACTTGAGACTTTCAATTCTCTTCCGTTTCTCGACATTCTGGTCACAGGTAAACACACAACAATCAGTACTACGGTTTACCATAAACCTTCATTGGTTTGCCTTCCACCACACTTTAAATCATGTCATCCGACTAAACAAAAGTTAGCTTCATTTCATTCCTATGTTTTCGTGCTTTTCAAGTTTGCTCCTCCAAAACTAGCCCTTGAAGAAGAACTAAATTATTTTAAAAGCAATAGCTATTGACAGGGGCTTTTCACCCCAACATTATTAATTCAAGCAGTTTAAAAATTCTCATCTCAACACACTAAAAGGCACACTCTTGTTTTAGGAGATTATAAAAATTCTGTTGTCATTCCCTTCTTTCCATCAATTAGCTATAAAGTTGCACATATTTTGCAGAAATTTAACTTTTGGGTCGTTTATTCTCCCATCAATAAAATTCCGAGTTCTATACTCAAGGACCCCATTCCGGATATGAATTCCTGGGGTATTTATAGGATTCCTTGCCAGTGTGGTTTAATTTACATTGGTCAAACTAAGAGAGCCTTAAAATTTCGCGTCAAAGAACATGAGGCATATGTTAGAAAAAAGGAAACACAGAAGTCTCTACACAGAAGTTGCCCAACATTGTTGGTCCGAAAATCCACACTTTCAATTTTTCTGCTGCCAAAATTATTCAAAAAACATCTTCCATTGGAGAACTGGATTTTTCTAGAGGCATTTCACATTCAAAAAATCTTTCTGTTCTAGTTAACGATCCTAATTCCAATCCATCTTTGCCTTCGGCCTTTTAAAGAAATTATGTTTTAGTTCTGGTTTCATCAACAGATGGTGTCACCAGCTTATTTTCCATCCAGGCTTTCTTATCTTATCTAATCATTATATCCTATCTCGTTCATTTGTGCTTTTGCAGCTGAGGATGGTGATTTGATAAAACCATCGAAACTAGTCCTGTGAAAATTTGAAAATATAACGCTGATTTTTGTTGTTTGACTTCCAAATTAGTATTTGTTCAGCGTGATATTGCGCCTTAATGCTATAACGTTACTGCATATGGCACTTTGATATATATTTGATAACTGGCACACCATTAACAGAAAAGCACTAAAATTTCCATGTAAATGCTAAGAACTTACCTCATCTGTTGGACAAGAGAATGCTATTCTTCCAAATGCCTGCTCATGATTGACTGGTTTTCCAATCTCTCTTAATTCAAGTTTGCACTGGAATGACAAGGTTAATAATATATATATAATTTTTTTCAAAAATTAAGAAAATAAATTTATTAATATTTCATTACTATTCGAGTTATTTTTTTCCTCTAATTGAGCAAAAATTAAACAGTCATTAAATTTATAATTTTCTTTAAATTCACTAATTTCATTAAATTCATTAAATTAATTTGTCGCCCATTTGGCGACATATCTGGCAATATGCCACATACGGATAGAGAACCTTCTGGAACAAATTGTTACTGGTTTAGCCCAGAATGTTCTCGAACACAAGCCAAAAGCTACATAAACCCTGCTGGTAGATTCAAGTGAGTGGATCATCAGTCAGTCAGTAGGTCCGTGCAGAAAGTCTATCTTGTTGATAGTCAGTTACTGCTGAGTTGGTCGTCAAGTGCACCTAAAGAGTCTCTTAGTGTATCGGTGTTAGTGCATCGTCGAGAGAGTGTGTTGAGCTCCGAGAACAACTGAACCATGGAGTCGGGAGCTGTAATCTAGTGCATCGCGAGTCATAGTGTGGAGAGTCTTGAGAGTACGTAGAGTTCCGAGAGCGACCGAGCAGAGTCGGGAGCTGTACTCTGGTGCTTTGCCGTGAAGCTGTCTCCACAGTTATAGCTTGATAGCGTGAAAGCTGTGTCATTGATTGTGTCAGCGTGTTTATGGTAGTTCTTCGAGACTTGTAAACGTGGTTTTTGAGCTGTCTTGAAGAATATTGGCCAATAAAGTGTGTTTGATACTTCATCGAGTGTTGTGGTCATTATTCACTCTAAATTCACACGAATCCCGAGCGTAACATATGTGAAAAGAAAACTAATGTAACAATATAATTTGAACACATGTAGCTTTTGGGGCCATCTGGTGGCCCCAAACATACGCTCTCGTTTTTTTAAAGAAAAATTTATTGAATTAATATTTATACATGATTCACAAAAAAGGTAATTATGATTTGGAGCGGAACACGTTTTTTTCATTTTTGAATTGCTTTTTGTTTTATGGCACATCATGTGAGCAGCGAAGTAAGATTATGAAGAACTAATTTAATCATTATTCAATATTTTTTGAAGGAAATGTAGGTGTCAAAATTTTAATGCCGCTAAATAGTTGGATACACATCTAAAAAAGTAAGAACAGTTATTTCTTTTATTTACAATGGAACTGACAGAGCTGAAAAAAAGTATGAACTAAAGAAAATGGCTTTATTATAAAACTTATCTGTAAAACAGATAAGAATATTTGAAGAAAATAAACCAATTTAATTGAGTAATTTTAAAGCATTGTTAAATCAGTTAAACACCAAAATTAAAAATGTCACATTAACAGATAATTTTATACTAAAAGAAACAAATTTAAAGAATTTGGATGCGGAAATTAATTCCAAAGAAGAGCATCACAATAATCTGTTACATTACAATAGTAATTCAATTGTTAAAATAGAAGAATTATAAAAAAGTATTAGAGATGATAATTCTAATGAAGAGATAAATATATCCAGTTCTAATCATGTTCCAAATTGAAATACAGAAACTTCTTTAAAATTACCTAAATTTTATGATGTCTATAAATAAATTTTATGGTGATCCTTTGAATTTGTTAAAACTTACAGTTCAATCCATAAGTGCGATTGATAAAAATCTAAACTTACAAAGATACAAAATAGAAAAAGTACAAAAATAGAAAAATTTATTTACTTAAAATGCTTTCTTAGCCAACAAACCTATTTCTGGTTTCAACCCTTATTGAAAATAATTATGAAATTGCTCTTGAACTGTTGCATTTCAGATTTGGATAAACAAATGTCTTAATTAATTTGCATTTAGGACAACTCTTAAGTATCTGCCTTGTTAGAAATCCTAATGATGTAAACAGACTAAAGAAACTTGTCAACCACAGTGATGCACAGATAAAAAAAAAAAAATAGACTCTGGTTGCAATGACAATATTTTAATGCCTTTAATTTTAAAATTTCTTCTGAATGAATTCATTTTTGATTATAGGCAAAAATTAAAGGTTTTCAAGGTTTTTTTGAGAGTACTGAGTTTTGTGAGAGAAAGAGTCTTTTTGAGAAATGAAATACTAAGTAGAGAATACATGGATTTTATCAATTATAATTCAAAAGAAAAGTTCTCACGATTAGATAAGAGCATAATAATACCTTTAGCCGAAACTCCCCCCCCCTGTCAAAACAAACAAGTTGGCTGCCCTTTGGCCAGCCTATGGATAAAATAAACTTAAACTTAAGAATGGACTATGTTTTACTATGTTCTTTTCTTTGTTGGTGGATGCATTGTCATCCACCTCTGGCTTGTGTGTTATTACCCAGACTGTGTGAATCATGTAAGTTCCCCAGGGTTGACCAGAGAGTTATGCCTCTTTGGATCACCTATAGGGACTGGAGGATTAATCATGTATGAAAACTCTAAGCAGGGTCTGGGTACCCAGCTTAGAACTGCCATACACTTTAAGTGCCCGGGATTTTCTGCTAAAAGCCTATTATCACCGTATGCCATACAACCAGGAGGTCTGATGTGCTCCTTGATGTGTGCTGTAAAAACAGTATGGCATTTTGGAACTCAGTCTGTTTCTTTATGATGTGTAATAAGCTATTCTTATCTGAAGTACTTTCATGGACCAGACTCGGTTTGCATTCTTAGCCAAATCTTAGCTTAGTTAGTCTCCGCACAGCATTTACGTGATTAAAAGAAAATAGCTTTAAGCTTTAGAAAAATTAAAGCATATTAGGCGAAATCGTTTTGAGTTGCTGGTTTGCCTGAGCAGAAGGCCTTGAGTGCAAAGGGTTAAGATTTTCTGCTGTAAGCTAAAAGAATTTTAATATCTTGTTTTTTTTTTTTTATTGTAATTTACGCATAGAAATAACTTTTATAATTAATATAAATAACAAATTTTAGTCTTGTTTTGTTAAATTTAACTAAGATCATAGATTTTTTTCAGACCTAATTTGCTGGAAATCTCATTAACCTTGATTTTTCTTTACTTAAAATTTTTTCCCACTTCCTTCAGTTTCATTTTATTAAAATTCAATTTTACATGCATTTATTATCTTTAATTATCATGGCCAACAAAATTTCCACTTATGATAAAAAAAATAAAATTTTCAGAAAAATATACCACCATGAAAAGAAAAGATTCAACTTATGAGGACTCTAAAAAAAGGAAATCAGTTTTTTGTTTATTTATAGACATTGAGCCAGATAAGCAATAATACCTGTTCTTCAGAATATCCTAAAATCACAGAATTATCTTCTTCACCATACTTTTTCATATTAAGAATATCACACCAAAATTCTGAAAAACAAAATGTACTATAATAAACATTCTACAGTAAAGACAAATATATTTCATAAAAACATACTTTATTAATTATATGGCTATGTAAAATTTGTTACAATTATTTATGTATGCAAAATATTTTTAAATCCCTGAGTTACCTTTAAGAAGTACAATATTATATTTGAAAAATCTGTTACAAATCTTATTATGCCATATGGAATAGCAACAGCTCACAAAATTGGCCAATTGTCATGCCATATGACTGATAAATGAATAAGTGTGAAGATCTGGTAGTATAATGCAATGTAATATGACATACAAGAAAAGGAAAATGTAATGAATGTTTTTAATGTCAAAAAGAATTTTTCAGTTAAAAATAACTAAATAAAACAAATTTTTACAAAAAACATTACAATCTTACTTTACAAAACCCTAAATTACCTTTAAATACTTTTTTTTTTTTTTTATTTTAAATTCTAAAATTCTGACACAGGAATACTATAAAATATGAATTTTTTATTACTCATAATGAGTACATCAACAAATTGACTGCAAATGCAAGTGTGGGGAGATTTCTCAATTTTTATAAAATTAATACAGAAACAGAATAAGCAGAAGTGTGCTATATCAAGTAAAATATGCAGATTATAACTTCTGATTGAATTTCAAAAGAAAAAGGTCTATTTTTCAGCAAAAAGTGTTTGACATATATGTAATGATGTAGATGTTGATGGTATGCAGATGCATAAATTTGTAGTTGCAGTCAAATATTAGCTGGCATGACAATTAAAGACATTTTATTTATTCTCGAGGAATACAAAAATAAAATATTCATCACAATGGACACAATCTGCATGCCCATTTTTAATCACATTTTTCATTTGTTCAACTTACGAATATATGATGGATGAAAGATAGGTAATCTGTGACACGTTTTCAGGACAACAAGCAAGAGTAGGAATGCAATGTGTTCAAAATAAAAGTTGGTTTCAAAGCGATTTGAGTTTCATTTCACAGTTTTGCCTTTGGCTAAAATGGTTTCAGTATTGGCTGTTAGAAATTTTGATTCCAAATCTGCAATCATTATTGGCTGAAGCCTTTATTAAAAAGCTTGAGTCATTAACACTATGTAAGAATAATATGACATCCATTAATTTAAAAATGATGCACTTTATTAGAAGCTATTTTTAAGGACAGAAAAGGGAAACTGCCAAATTAAAATGAAAAATTAAGGGTCTATTTCTAATTCAAATTAGATTTTTTTATCTTGCATAATTTAGACATAATTTAGGTAAACTATGTTATGCTACAAAATAAAACATATTCAGCTGTATTTTTTTGAAGAGAGATGACTGAAGTTACATATTAGTTATGGACACTTTCAATATTGGGTTTAAATGGGAGGAAAAAATTCAAAGCACTAATTACTTACAACAGAAAATAATAGGAAATTGCACTAGTTTCTATCAAACAAGAGTGGATTATTTTACTCCATAAACCATACTTAGGTTATGAAACTTAGGATACAGATCTATTCATGGGAAACTCGAGGAAGGAAATTGATCTGGATTTACATTATACATGGAGAAAAACCAAAGCATTTGTTTTGAAAATTGTTGTGATATAATTCCTTTAATTGGAACTGCAGTAAGTTTCTACCTCAATGTTTATGCATTACAAAATACATTTTCCCTGTACTTATCCTGCAATAGTTGCAATGAATCTGTCATATTTCATGTTCCCTCAATAGCCTTTATTTTTGTGACAAAAGTGCATTTACAATGTTATGAAAGTCAAAATCTTAAGCGGTACAGTATTCTAATGAATGTCTAAATCATTAACTAATTAAAAAACAGTAAACATATTCTGTATCTGAAAATGATGGTTCCTCAAACTACAAATCCCTACTTCATAGGCCCACCAGCGGCCGAGCGGTAAAATCGCTGAACACTGGTAGTTCGGTCCGAGGTTCGAATCCCGCGAACGGGCTGGCTGCATGGGCGTTTTCGTGGTTTTCCCCATGTGTAACATGTATACGAGCCAGTTTCCCTTAGAAAGTCCTCCACGAAAGGCATCCCTCCCCTTAGGCAGATAGCCCTAGTGTGCTTTGCCGTATTCTCAATACACCAATACACCCTACTTCATAAATCTGCTACTGGTCACTCCTGTTATTTTATGAGTACCTAATAAATTTCATTAATATTAATTAATACTCCTTATGATACTTATTCTTACTCTTTCAAATACTTTTATCCTGGAAAACAGCTTTACAGTGAAGATTATCTGAATTGCAAATAATAATTTAAATGATAATATTTTTGTATAATCAATTTAATGTTTAATCATTGATGTCATTAATTACTACCATTTGCAATAAAAACTTACTCTAATGGCATTTAATTTCCCTTACATAATTTTCTGAAGTTTTTCAACTGCATACCTTTTCTTAGAAAATAATTGAAAACGCTTTTATTAGGCAAAGGAAAGTTGTAGTATTTATGAATATTTAACTTTCATATTAAGTTTCATATCAAATAAGAATATGAACATGCTTACCTGTTGACTTCTGCAAATTAGAACAAGCAAGAGTAACTTTCTTAACAGGATCTGAAAGGGCAAAATAAATACAATAGAAAATATTTACATATTCACATTTTTAAATTTTTTAGTAAAAATTTTTTATTCAAATGGGTTCCTATTAAAAAAACTTTGATAACAGTATACTTTTTAGATGTTTGCATTATAACAAATTCATAATTAAAACAATAACTACATATAATTTAATATAAAGATACTGATATGCTGAATACCTTTAGCACATACAGTAAATGTGTAATACTCAAACATAAAAGGACTTTAATAAGTTAATATTTCTGATAAGCAGAACTGCATGTTGAATTCTATATTACTCTTTCTTGACAAATCTGATTTTAGATCCCTTGACTCCCCCCCCCCATCTTCAGTTTCAGCTGAAAGAAGTTCACTCATATTAATTTTTTAAGATGTTACAGAATTATAAATGAATTTCTTTAAGAATTTTTATTTGTGACTTTGTACTTGTCATTTTCAGAATCTCTCTGCTTTTGACTTCATTTCTTTATGTGAATCTCTTAGTTTGTGACTTAGAAGGAAGGTCTGCCAACCTTGAACTCTCATTCTTTTTTCAATACATATACAGTAAAAGCTTGACAATCCGGGAAGCCCTGGAAATGCCGAATGCTGAATATGTGAAAATTCTGGATAACTGAACAAATATAAAATGCAACTCATGGTAGAAAAGCCAAATAAATTAATTAAAAAACTTTCAGTCTAAAATTATATAAAGAATTTATTTGTCATCAGCTTGAATATCAAATGCCTGCATTTAAATTATGCGAGTTGTCAAACGAAATAGGGCATTCTAGACATAAACACCAAAATAAAACATCATATTGAATTATGAAATTCTGTTTACCTTGAAAATTGGCGATTATCTTGACAAACTTGAGCCAATCATTCCAGCAGAGGATTGAAGGAACAAATCGCTCTTTATTTAGTTAATCAATATACACAAATTATGAACATGACTTATGAAAAATTCAAATCGCTTTTCATAATTTTCACAAGTCGCACTTTTCTTGATGCCAGGATTCTGTTAATTTTGTAATTTTGTAATGTCGCGAATTTTAATTATTAATATATGTTTTAAGTTATCATTATTCTAGTTTATTTTTATTTGTATTCATGTATATTTTAATCTGGAAAAAAAAAAGTATTTTTAAATTGTTAAAGCCTTATTTAACTGGTAGTTCTTGAAAGCGTAGTGTAACAACAACAGGAAACAGTTGCAAGAGCCATCTGGTTTATTGGTTTATGGCCTTTTTACTAACAGTGGAGGCAGTAGGGTGTTGTGTTGTCGCCTTTTCCTAATGGTGTGTGAAACGAAAATTGTCTCACCTTCGCTTTGTTAAAGTTGCAGTTTTGCTTACTTCAAGACAATGGGGGTTGAACTAAGCTTAGGTAATTGGATTCTCGTAAAGCTTAGTTCTGCTTGTTAGTTGAGGGGTCCATTTTTTTTCTCACATTGTGTGTACAGATGTTTTTTGGACCGCATTGTCAGATTTTCTGGTGTTTGATTTGTAATGGGTGTGTCATTTTCTCCGTTTAGAAAAAATAATTCCAGCATTGGTGTGATTTTAATTTTATGATTTTTCAAACCCTATGAACTCACAAGGCCTATGAACTCACCGAGATTTCCTGGATGCTTGTACCAGGCTAGAGTTCATTATTCCTGATTCTGATTTTCAAGCTAAGAGTAAGAGGAGAAAGAGTGGGGGATTGACCCTTACGGGTCTTGCTATTGTGTCGGATTGGGAGACAGATTTGAGTTGCGAAGATGTAAGGCAGTAAAAGACAAAGTTTGGTGCACCTCGGTCTGAGGCGAGGTTTCTCGTAGCCTTCCCGCTGATGAGAATTTGTTCGAATGGAGAAAGAGCTCTACGAAAAATGTGATTTCACCGTTTCATCGTGTTTTTTGAGATCCTTGAATTGTCATGTTAGAGGCTTTCCAGTTAGAATTGTTCGTCATAGAAAGCTAAGAAGCTAGTGCCGAAAGTGTTCTACGCAAAATTTAGTTTTGCCACTTCGTGTATTTTGGAGAACTTGAATAGTCATGTTTAAGACATTCCAGTTGATGAAATTTGTCATGAGATACAGATTAATTCCAGAAAAAGGTATCATGCTGCCCTTGTTCCTGAGATCAATGGACGCTTCCTAAAGTGTTTTGACAGAAAAAATATTTCACACTAAAGATCTTTCCGTTCAGAAATTGTCTCTCACTTAATGGACATATTTAAAGCAGTTCCTGAATCAATGGATGCTTCTGAAGTGTTTTGAAAAAAAAAAAAAAAAAAAAAAAAAATTTTTTTTTTTTTAGCTCATTTCAAGTTATGGACACTAAAGATCTTCAACCCAGAAAAAAAACTGTCTTCCATCTGTGAGTGATTTTTAAATTTGTCTACCTCTCTATCTTTTCAAATTACTTAATGAAAATCATTTATTTTATATATGTAAACTATAAATATTAGAATATTTGATAATGACAATTAATAAAGACTGTAAATGAAGGTTTAAAGATTTGTTTTACGAGCTTAATTAGTGAGCTATTGAATGTTTGAATAATGACCAATTAATTTAAAGTCTGTACATGAAGGTTTAAAGATTTGTTTTACCAGCTTAATTAGTGAGCTATTGAATGTTTGAATAACGACCAATTAACTTTAAGTCTGTAGATGAAGGTTTAAAGATTTGTTTTACCAGCTTAATTAGTGAGCTATTGAATGTTTGAATAACGACCAATTAACTTTAAGTCTGTAGATGAAGGTTTAAAGATTTGTTTTACCAGCTTAATTAGTGAGCTACTGAATGTCAAAAAAATAGTAAACTTACCAAATTAATATGAGTATGTTAATCTTGGAATGAGATATGTGTTATTTTTCATCTTAAGGTATATTAATTTTTGTAAGCTGTAATTGCATGTGACATTATGTGTTACTTTTCATAGTAAAATATGTGGTAGGATTACTGATCAGTTATCCATTATATAGTAATATAATGATAGCCAAGAAATTAATAAATGTGTTTGATATATATTTTATGTTTCATTTGTTTAATTTAGTGTACAATTTACTGTGGTCTGTCATGTCCCTCCATTTGTTTGAGCTGGGAGGCTTTTAAGAAACATGGAGTTTTATTGAATTTGGATTATTGATTTTTCCTTTGCATAGGGTACTCACAACGTGAACCTAAAAATTAAACTGTACTACCACTATACGAATGTTTATAAGAATGTCGATATGATATATGAATGTTTTGAATTACTTGATTTTTTAATTAGTTTTGTCCGACACCATGTGTTAAGATGAGTCAAAGTCTAAAAAGAAATTAAAACACCTAATTTTCAGATATTTAACAATACAAATTTTTGATATTCAACAATTTGAAATAATGTACTGCATGCTGTTTTGTTAAAGTGAAGTCCTAAATTTTAATATGGGTTTAATTCCAGGTGAACAGGGTGGCTGTATAAGCTTTTCATGGTTTTCTCCATGTGTAAAGCGTATATTGACCAGTTTCCCTCAGAAAGTCCATCACGAAGGTATCCCTACCCTTAGGCAGATAGCCCTAGTGTGTTTTGCCATAATAAACTAAACCAACCAAAGTCAAATTATAATCATTTTTCACCTTCAAAATGTGATAAAAAGCAGTTATCTTTCACTGTTTTTTACAAAATTAAGCCAACTTATTGAGAATTAATCAGGTTTACATAAAGCCAAAGCATTACATCATTATCGATTTTTGTTGTTGTTGCTGTTATCTTGTCCATGTATTTCATGGAAGAAGTTATCAGAGCCTCAAGTAGGTTGGACTTCGACTGGATTTTGAAGGACAGCACTCCCCTCCTGAGACAGCGCTCCTCTCCCACCCCTCTTCCCTATCACTAAGCTATGCAACAGGACTTTCAGCTTGCCACATATTTAGTGTGCCCCCATGCTGCAGAAACGCTACACATTTATAAACATCCATGCCTTCTCCAGGATTCAAAACTGGGATCTTCGATACTGCAGTAGGCTCCCTTAAATATTATACCGACCAGGCAGCATGCTTATTAATGAATGGTTCTAAATCGCACTATTTGGCAACAGTTTTTCTTTAAATCGAACATGACGTTTTTTTTAGTCCTGTCCATGCTTTATAATATAATAGTTACAAATACCTTCCTTTCTTAATTTTACATTAAAAAAATTTTTATAATTAAAAAATATTCCAATTAGTTGAATGGCAAATACTTGGACTTTTACTGTATATGAAACTACTTATCAAAAAATATATAACTATAAAATAAATCAGCTGCTAATATTCTACAGTAAATTTTGAAAAGATGTCAATATAGGATTTTTGATGAATATAAATACCAATAGTAAACTTTCTGATGAAATTTCGAGAAATCTGAAAAATACACCCACATCACCTAGCATAGTTAGATTTGTGTATTAAGTAAGATTTCATATTTTAAATTTCTGATTCATACTGATTTAATAGTCAAATCATTTTATCATGTATTTCAAACACTGCTGTATTACCAAATCTCAATATTTTTTACAATGTTTAGCTGCTTATCTATAGTTAATTAGGAAGTAATTTTTTTGCTAATATGCATTTTTAGATGAGTAGATTCCTATATATTTTTTTCGCAAAAATTGAAAATTCAACGTTGGTAGATATTTTTTGTTAGTATGTTTATTTCTTCCTTCTCAAAACTGGCATATAAGACAAATAATCCATACTGTATCTTATGAAATATACAAAAAATATATAGCCTCTTCATTTCTGAATCACAGATAAATAAGAAAAGTAATTTTTTTCCATATAGTTACTTATTTTATAAAATTTCTCACCTTCCTGTCTTCTTCCCAATATAAACTAAAACACTGATTTCTCACAGATCCTTGTAGGTAGGTTGCTATTTATATACAGTGATTATGGGGCTCATAACCCCTTTGCCAACAAATTACACAGATTTGCTATATACTGTTTGGTATGGTTTAAGCTAACTTCAATGTAATAACTTTTGCATAATTTTTTAATTTAATCTCCACCCTTCCCCCCATATGATTCGAGTTAGAATCCTTGGGCTCTTCAAGGGCACTTAAATTCTAAATATCACTGAATTCATAGACTCCAACTTACAGCAAAACTTGTCAACAGTCAATAAATGAATGACATGTTTACAATTTTTAAAATGTAAATGTAAGGCACAATTTAATTAGCCAGTCTATATTTAAAATTCATAAATATAAAAAACTGAATAATTTAAAATATTTCTTGTAATTATATGTGTATTCAAATGAAAATTTTCATTTCATTACTAAAGCAGAAATATCACTAAATCTAATACATTACGGAAGAAAATATTTTAAATCATAAATGATACACATCAAAATCCACAAACTACATACACATATCTTTACGAGGTTTCGGGGTTTTGATTTCTACAGGAAATAAAAGAAAATAAAATTACAGATAGATAAAGAAACATGCATATAATCAACCATCAAAAATGCTCATAATTTATCTATAAATTATGAATGCAAATATTTATAGGTAGTATGCTTAAATTCTGAATTATCTTTTCTTTTTTTTTATTCATGTTTTCCTACAATATAGTTTTTCATTTGCTGCATGTCTATTTTGTCAATGAGAACTGCTCAGACAGCTTTTGTACCTAAATTCAGCCAAATTTCAGTTTGATTCTTTTTTATCATAGAAAAAAAAGTTTCACCAGCTGGATTTGAATGGTGTACTGTTGCAAGCATCATAATAGGTAGTACTTTGCATTTAATGCACCCATTCACTTCTTTTAATTTTGCAATTTTTCCTCATGCTCACCCATCTACCATTTGTATTTGGACACCCATACAAATGCTGATACATGCGGTTCTGATATACATCATGCTCTCCACCATTAAATATTGTGTAGGAAAAATATTGGTAATAATGCCATGCAAGATGCCATGAAGTGCAGAGTTACCTGATTTTGAGAAAGGTGCAATTGTCAGGTATCACAAAAATGGCTGATCCTTAAGGAGCTGAATTACCCAATTTATTTCTAGTGAGCTGAATTAACTAAATTCGGCAGTAACCTATGGTGATTCAAAACTGGAAGGTGAGTGGTGATTATCAGAATGTGCTTAGACAGCAGACCCATGAAACTGGAAAATAGGGAGCGATGGGTAACATCCAGAGAAATTTAGAATTACACCCAATCAATGGCCCACATACTCCAGGAAGCACAGCACATTAACAGTGGACCATTGATCAGTGGAAAGGAGTTCTCTGGAGCAATGAATCAAGATTCACCCTCTACCATTCAGATGCAGGATCTGGGTCTGGTGTCTGCCTGGAGAATGCCTCCTGCTAGAATGCATTCTGTCTGCAGTAAAGTCTGGCAGAGGTGGAATTATGATCTGGGGGTGTTTCTCCTGCTATGGACTTAACCATTGGTCCAAATTCATGGAAAACTGAACACCCTGCCTACTGCCCTATTTTGGATGACAGTGTGCTTCCTCTGTTGTTCCAGGTTTACTGGTTAGACCCATGTTACTTTCAGGATGACATCATCAGCTGTCATGTTGTGAGGTCCACCATGGATTAGTACGATAACAAAGGGGTTAACTGAATGCACTGATCTGCCAAAGCATAAACCTGAACACTATTGAGAACCTTTAGGACAAATTGGATCCCTGAATTAAGGGGTGCAACAACCGTTCAATATCAGCGAAGTGAATTCTCCAAGCCAAATGGAAGAAAATTCCAACAGCCACCATACAAGGACTTGTAGAAAGCATGCCGCAGAGGGTTGAGGCTGTAATTGCCACTCATTGAGCCTATACCAACTATTGAATTTGAATAAATTTTGTTCTTTTTCTAATTCTTTTTTATCACAGATGTCCAAATACTTACTGGTAGATAGTACATTTCAATATGCAAATCTGCAACTTTTTTCAAAGTATCTACTAGATACACAGAAAACTCAAATTTTATTAGATCTATAAGATGTTTAACTTTTATGTTTAAGGGGCCTATGAAATACATTAACTTTTATGCCTGAAATGCTTTTTTTGGAGTGGGCTGAAATGTTATATAATTTTAAAAGTAGGTTTTTGATATTCAAGTTGGTAACAAAAAAATATGACTGTTTTTCATAATTTTAGATCAGAAATATTTTTTACTCTTTTCTAACCTTGAATTACAATTTTTATACACTGAACCACCCAGAATTTTTGCATATTTCTGAATCTGCCATTTCCCAAACTTTCCAGTTAGTTGAGCTTTTACTGTATCTTTTTACAACACTTCTATTTTTAAAGCAATTACTTTTTTAGTAAATTCATTGTAGCTGAATGGATAACCTCAGATGATTACAGCTGGTTGATGCATTTTAATAAATGATGCTTACACCTTTAAATATTCCCATCATATTACTAAATAGTCTGAAGAAAATTATAAATAGTTTTTCCTATCTAAAACTTTGCTCATACAATATTAATTTAAAGAATTAAAATTGTCTTCTCTGGCATTATTTGTGCGTTCTAAAATAGAAATCATTGAAGTAATTATTACTTTTTTTTACTATAATATACCATAATAACATAGTACATTTTGTTATCATTGTATCAAATTCACAACTCTCTAAATTAAAAAAAACTGAATTTTTCAAATTGTTTTAATTGCCAAACAGCACTGTATTGCCAAATATCATTATTTTTTAAAATTTTACTGTTTATCTATAGCAGGGTTTCTTAAACTTTTTTCAGTCGCGACCTCTTTTTATCACTGAGATTTTTTCGCGACCCCCAGCACATATTTAAAAAAAATTTTGTTGCACCCTATAAGATTGCACAAATCCAACACACGCATGGGTGAAACTGTCAATTTTTTCACTTGTAATATACTGCTGCAGTTTTAGGTCATTAATTTACAATTTTAAGACATAGACAATAGCAGTTTTAGGTAATTAACTTTAATTTATAATTTTAAGACATAGAACAATGTGAAAATTTTAAATAAGTAACAGATGAAATGACAGCGTCATATGCAAAGCAAGGAAAATGAGTGTTTATATTATATATTATAAAAAGGATGTGTCAAAACGTTTTCGTTTTTTTGGGGGGGGTCTGTATTGTCTTATCTTTATCTATTTTCAGATACATTGCGTAAAAATTTTTGGTAATTGTTAAATTATTATAATAAGTTAAACAAATATCCAAACTGCTAAAATTTTTGGTGACAGTTTAAGAAACCCTGATCTAAAGTGTATTAGCAGCTTTTTTTTTTTTTTTATTTCTATCAGCACTTACAGAAAAAGATGTATTGTACACTCATTTTACAACATCATGACAGTACTTTCTGCAAGTGTTTTCACAACTGTAGCACTTTTGGTGTGCTCCCAGTTAAATTTTTTGCTATGGCAAAATCTGAAAACAACAAATTAAAATATTGTTTCAAATAGTCTAAAACCAAAATTGGAAAGCTGTGCTCAATTTAAAATTGAACAAAATAGAACCCGTCTTTTATAACATTACTTTCATCATCTTTTATGAAGAAATTTGATATTTCATTCAATTTTTTTGCACTCATTTCTTTATGCTTTTGAGAAAATATATGCAGCTTTATCACCATGCACAATTCAAAATTTGTTGTAAAGAGCACAATGTGAATGATTTATAGAAATTTTAGATGCTTTAATGCATAGAATTCTGTAGCATATAAGCCTTTAAATTTCTGGCTTGATAATTTTAGCCTCTTATTTTGAAGGGGCAAAATTTACAAAACATTTCCTATTTAATCATAACTCACCAGAAGCTTATGTTTTCTCGCCATAATCTAAATGAATGAAACCGAATGACTTGCAGGGCAAATAAGAACTTTATTTACTATGCAAGTCATTCAGCTTCGCTCATTAGATTTGCCACAAAATGTTTGAATGGAAAGATTAATAATGGCAGTCAGTTTAGAGATCTAAGACCAGCTAGTCTTCAAAACTAGCAGGACACTCAACTTAACATGTGATACATGATGTCCCAAACATTTTGACAATCAATAGATGAATACATTGATTCCCTTTTGCATACCATTTCCCTTATGCTATTTCTGTAATATCCATAATTTTTTCCCCACATTTACTATAGCTCACAGTTTTTAAAGAATTTCTTAATTAGGAGTTGGAGTCTCTGCAAACGCGAGTTCTTGATCCACACAGAAATTTTCTCTGTATGATTAAACTATTCAAAAATCTTTTTTCTTACACCGAGACATCATCAGTCTTTTTTTCTTACACCGAGACTTCATTAATGTAATTATTCACATTTTTAGAATATGGAAAGACAGAAAAAATAATTGAATGAATGAATTTACTAAAATAATTAATACTCTAAAGCGATTTTTCAGGTAATGTTTACCTGAATCATCCAGTTGAACTTCATCAACTATAAAATATCTATATCCACCTGGTGCTTCCACAAATTTCAAATCATTTTCTTCCTTTACAGGCCAATCATGCTTTTTAGCTTTATCAATAATACTATCTGACTTCAGTGTAATTCCCTGCAGTATTCAAAATGTTTTGAGGAATCATAAAGCATATACTGTTAAATATGCAAATACATATAGTTGATGCCATGCAAGAAAACAAGAAAAAATGTTCACAAATCAAAATTACAATTTTATGGGATTTTAAAAAGATATTAAAGACTACTTTATCATCAGTTTCTCATTTCCTTACAAAATTAGTAGATGCTTTAAAGCAGGGGTTCCCAAATGTATGCCCATGTTTAATGTGTGCCCGCTGCTGTGCGATCACAATAAAAATGTTTTAGTTTTCAATAAAATTCTATGTGAAAGTTTTTTCATTTTTAATGAAATAGAATTTGTGTCCAATAAAGATACCAGCAAAAAGCGACAGATTTCTAGTTTTTTTATATGCATGTATTATTAACTCTATCCAACTATAAATTCACCTTAAAAAAGTAAATGGTACCCACCATCCAACAGATATTCTAGAATGTGTCCTTAGGGACAAAAAGCTTGGGAACCCTGCTCTAAAGTCTGTGATATGGCCAGAAATAGCTATAAAAAGTAAACTACTTTTAACTGCTTCAACCAAGTAAAATTATAAAGTTGACATGCAATGATATACTATGACATATAGTACTATCAAATTAACTTTTAGAACCTCTTCAGGATATTCAGTTGCTATGTGCATCAAACCCTTTTGTTAATGAGGCATTCACATCATTTTAAACTACTGATTATAAAATCTACAGCCTCGTTCTCTTCGGTACACCTCATTATTAAGAGGATTTTATAATTTGTATCTTTTATACACTATTTACAGTAAACAATATTTATAAAAAATATTTTTTATATATATTATGAAAGCATATTAACTAATATCAGGTTTTAACGGAAGTTTCCCGCCACCACAAATATCGTCTGCGCAGACAGTTTGTATTGGCATGTTTAATCACAGTTTGTTAAAAGATTTTTAGCATCTGAAAGAAAGAGACTTGTTTTAGAAGACTCTTTTGTGAAATTTATAAAAAAAAATACAGTTATCATTAAGTGCAATATGTCTGAAATGGAGCTATCATGAAACCAAAAGGAACATCATTTACTTCCCATTTTGTTGCAAAACGTCAGCTACAGAATGTCACCAAATCAGGTACATAGCTTTAGATACTGATGTTGTATCACATGACATTGTAAAGGTTTGGTACCGAAAGTTTAAAAATAAGGACTATGACATTTAAGAAGCAAAGTGAAGATGTCTGAAATGGAACTATCATGAAACCAAAAGGAACATCATTTACTTCCCGTTTTGTTGCAAAACATTAGCTATAGAATGTCACCAAATCAGGTATATAGCTTTAGATACTGATGTTGTATCACATGACATTGTGAAGGTTTGGTACCGAAAGTTTAAAAATAAGGACTATGTCATTTAAGAAGCAAAGTGCTCTGGCTTACCTACTGATGTTGATGAGGGTCGCCTACGACAACTTGTGGATGAAGATCAGTATGCAAGCACACGAGAGCTTGCTAAGGAGATAGGCATTAGTGTCATGCCCATTAGTCACACTATGTATCGCATAAACTTGACGTACAAGTTTAATTGCTGAGTGCCCCATGAGCTAACTCAAGCAGATAAGGACAGACATCTTCAGGCCTGCTTGAATATCAACACAAGAGCAAAATTCTGGACTGGATCATCACTTCTGACGAAAAGTGGATTTACTTTAACAACACAGTCCAAAAAGGGGGTTGGTCTGCACCTATTAAGCCCATCAGCAAAATTGCAAAGCACAATTTCGCTAATAAAAAGATCATGCTTTGTATTTGGTAAGATTATCTGAAAAAAGGTAAAACTTTCAACAGTAAGATGCTAGTCCCTGTTCCGAGTTCCGGCACAAAAAAGTAATGTTCCATCAAGATAACGAAAGACCCATATGTGTCTGCATTTACCAGCTGGACTATGTACAGATTTGAATGGGATCTTTTGCCACACAAACCACATAGCTTCGGACATTGCTCCTTTGAAATTCTATCTTTTTCACACCTGCAGCTACATCTTGCTGGCATTATCTTCCATACTGCACAAGACGTTCGAAATAAGGTTGTTCCGTTTTTGAACTTGCATCCATCAAGTCTCTGTGCCGAAGGCTTTGAAAAGTACCAAAACATTGGCAGAATCGTAGATTTCATAGAAAATTGTAGATTTAGGCGGTGATTACTACTCACACTAAAGGTACTGCTTTCATTTATTTTTTTTCTTTTATTAAGAACGTTTTTTGGCGGAATACTTTCGTTACAACCAGATAAACAAGTTCTTAGCAACTTATTGGTAAGATCTGATACAATGCATTTGTACACAAAAAAATTAACATCACAAATAAATTATTTCCTTAGACAAATAAAAAAGGCTTGCAAAAACTGGATACATTATGACACAAAAATATAAGAATATTACTTACCATAAAATCATTCCCTAATTTATAAGATTTAATACCATAATTATAGGTCAATTCGGCAACAAAATGGTTATCTTCTGGTCCATATCCAATCATAGTTTTACTCCATTTACCATCATATGGTCTGAAAAAATTTTATGAAAAGTCTAAAATATAAATGACACATCTATTTTCACTCTGAAGTATTTATTAAATAATTTTACATAATTTTTATTAAATCAGTTTATCAATTTCATATTTTATACTTCTGACATTAACAAATTACTCATGTATTAAATAAAATGATACACTAAAATACACAAATGTAAAAAAAAAAAAAAAAAAAAAAAAAAAAAAAAGAGTTAAGGAAGTGAGAATTTTTGAAGAAGGAACATCCTGCTTAATCAATGAAATAAAATTTATTTATTCACAAAAGTGCTTTATAGGCATTATCAAAATGCTTTACATACATTACTAGAGCAAGTTTTAAACAAAAAAGAAATCATATTATCATAAAATAATAGATACAGACGAATTTTAAATCACGAACGTCTCACATCATGAAAAAAATATTTGAAGAAAAACATCTAAGATGATGAACAATGTATCAAGTTACAAACATTTAAGTTGCACACAAGGTACTTTGAGGTAACTTATGCTACAGAATTAAAACTCTGAAACATGATTTTAATATTTTCCATTGTCTTAAATCTTGTCAAGCCTAGAAGTGACTTACAAAATCATGAACTCAGCCTACAGGAAGTTATGACCAGACTAGGTTGCAGTCTTACAGCACTTTGTCATTAACCTTTTCCTGTGGGCTAGAAAAACAGTTGTGTACCTTCACTGAAGGCTCTTGGCTCAGCGGTTATGGAAATGGGGGAATATTATCGAATCGAGTCTTGAGGACAAGGTGATTAGTGCTCTTTTGTAGGGCAGGCAGGGAAACGGTCAGGATTTCCTTTCAATCCAATTTCAATGCTCTAGGCGTGATGAATGCGGGATGAACTCTAATCGCTTTCACACTGCAAGTAGTTGAATGCAGTTTTCCCAAGGGAGAAAAAAAGTATTACTTTATCATCAGATGAAATGTATGCTACAAACAATTTTGTTCCAGAAAGTGTTCCATTTTATGATTAAAATAGTTTTTTAAACTTGCACATAAATTATGTACTAAAAAATAAGAGAAGCAATCAGAGTTAAATACATTCACTTGCCATCGTAACGAAAATTCAGCGAGTTAAAATATTCAAACATTTCCTGCAAACAATATATACATTCTCATTTTTAATAGTATTATTATTCTGATGTTGAAAAGCAAATTAAATAGAGATTATTTACTACAAAGAAACTAAAAACTTTACTAAAAAGCATTTCCGGATTCCAAAATGAGTGTTATCTCTGGTAATATTCATTTCTGGAGCAATAGAAATTGGTCACTGCGTTTGTACTGCACTAAAAACTTACAATGCATGAGTCAAGAAATTTTTTATTTATTTTTCTTCCATGTGGTGTTAAAAATATCGGTCCCAGAGTTGATCTGCCATTACATCAGGCATATAAAATGTTTAATTCTTTTAAACCGCTTCATAGTTTTTGGTTCAAGAAAGAAATGTAGATGCAAACCTTGGAGCTTTAGAAAAAATCCTTGTTGAGTTTTAATGTATTCAGTAACAAAAATTTAGTTTTATCACTTAGCAATATAAGATATTTTGTTGATAGATATTAATTTGTATGATAGTTGTTAGATGATTTATACTGCTACACCATTTTTTCTTTGAATGCAAAATTGCATATACAGGAACGCATTGATATTCAGAAAGTAACATCTTTGTCGAGTAGCGAAATATTTCTTCAGTTTTTTATGATCTACATATTCAGAATGCTAAAATCGACTTAGATATCAAACTGTATGTGAAATTTTCAGATCTCAAGCTATTGCTTTCTTTGGGAGTAATGAAGCTGGGAATGAACATTCAATTGAGATTAAATTCAGGGAACTAAAAAGTGGTACACATCTGAATTTCTGTATACATGCTTAGTATTCCAATGTCTTATTTGATTCCCTCCAAAACACAATTCTCATGTAAAATTAATTTCTTTCTGAACACTTCTAGCAACTGAGTGGTAAAGGCTGCTGAATGCTGTTAGTTCGACGTCAGGCGATCGAGCTGGCCGCATGGTCGGCTTTTGTTGTTCCCCCCATGTGAAACGTGAATACGAGCCAATTTCCTCAGATCTCCCCGAAGGCATCTTTTCTTTAGGTAGGCAGCCTTCGTGTGTTTTTCCATATTGAATTAACATTAGTGGTATCTAATTTCTGAATGAATTGATATAGATATGGCATTAGAAATGCAAACATATAACAACGGATAAATTAATAAATTTTGAAAATTTTTTAAATTTTGAATTAGAAAATGTTCCATAATAATTGCTTTAAAAATTTGTATTTCATTCGTCGCACAATTAAAATTCATTTTGTCAGCAAAATTATTCATAAAAGGAAGAGTTTCTAAACATAGTTATAAAACGCTCATAAGTTTAGCTTTATTATTTCGAATATAATTTTATTTTTGTCAGATGAAAGAAAGTGTTATCTACTTAAGCGAAAGGGGCTATTGTGGAGCGCCTTCAAAGGAAATCGGCTGATATTCCCTTTATATATGTGAGAGAACAAGAAATGTTCATGCAGTCAATCCGTTCATCAGAATTTGAATCCAGGTTAAATAATCAGAGTTAAAGAAATATTATCCACTTGGCCACTAGTTATCATTTAGACCATAACAAACCAAAATTTCACTCAAGTAAGCAGTAGTTGTGGAATGTATGTCATTTACAAATAACATTAAAATTAATTTTTATCACCTGAAACATTTATAATTTTTTACACTGCCTTCAGATGCACATTAAAAATTGGAATAAAATGATAAAAACACTTATGAAAAGAATGAAACAAAGGCAATTTCAAATTCGAATTGAAACCAAATTAAAAAGAATATAATCAGAAATAACTGAAAAAATTATGCATTTTAAAATACATTCAAGCTTTTAAAATAATTTGCGAAGAATTTTAGCAGCCGAACTTCCAAAAATAAAATTTCTTTTATATTTGACTTCCAAGCCGTATTTGCACAAGAAAAAACCTGAAAACGCAAATGCGTGTGAATTGAAGTAACAAATTATTCTTTTTATTTTCTCCTCTCAACAAAATATTTCCTAGAAGATACCAAATTTGCCAACAAGACAGGTAAATTCAAAACACCGACAATTTTCCCCAATCCATTAGCAGAATCCCACAAAAGAACGCACTCTGCGGGGTGTCATAAAACAGTCATCAAGCCTCAAGCGCTAGAATTCCTACCCCTGCCACCAACAACAAAGTGTCCCGTGCTCCCCAGTTGCTAGTTGCTGTATACTTAATTTGGGACACATATGTTCCAGCCCTTGGGAAAAGGTTAAGGACAAATTTTATTATACGCCATATTATGGGTCCAGAGGAGTTACTAGAAGACCATAAAAATGAGTTCAACAACTTAAGAAATAAGAATAAAAGGCGATTGTGAAGGAAATGTCTTCAGTGGAAGAAGAAGGGAGAAAATGATGATCCTAGTTGCTAGACATGTGAAGTTTTTATAAAGGTAACAAGATGCAATTTTCATTTATAATACAACCCTGATAAAGCAATAGCTATAACAAAGCATTTTCAATGACAATGCCATGTCTCATTTTAGAAACATTTTAAAACACAGAACTCAACACAAATTTTTAGTGAAACTGAGACCCGACATTGCCACATACAGAATAGAGTCGCACTAAGAGACAAAAGATGAAAGAAGATACCCCTGACGTTTTTATGGAAAAAGACTCCTCATACAAAAAATAATATCTGTTTCTCTTCTCTTTCTCTTTCCATACATACTGTTCATTGCCCTCCATACAGGACAGTAAAATTAAATTTTTCTTGATTTTATCTGTTTAATATTGCATCTGCATATTAAAGATAATAAAATAAGGTAAACATAAGATATAAAAATATGAATATACACACTCTCATACATACATTTAATTTTTTTATTATTAATTATTGTAAGGTAATGCAAAATTCTGTTTTTCTAAATTTATAAGACCTAACTTGAGTTACAAGTTATTCATCTTAATTTGAATTTTAATTCTGTATATTTATTTTTTTCAAGTTCTTTATAGTATATAAGGAATTTTACAACCATAAAAGTAAATTGAAACTTTGATATTTTTATACAATGCTACAAGCCTGTTGCCTTGTATAAGGAATAGAAGTTTTTACATCACTTGCAGTTAACCCTTTGTTGCATCATGTCCTTTCTAGTAGACAAAAGTTTAAATTTGTTTATTCTTCTGTAAATGCCTTAACAGATTCCATTCCTGTGCTTATTCATTCTATATTATTAGAACTTTCAACTGTCGATCATAGATGGCTGTATAACATCACTAAGTAAAGCATTGCTATTTGGAAAATGGCTGCTACTTCTGTTTCCAAGTTAGTACAATTTCTTATAGTAAACATTATATAATATTGCTTACATTTTCTTATACTGCCATTTTTTTTTTTTTTTTCATAATTAGTAATTTTAGACATTTTATTTTAAATGTCAGTTTGAGAAAATTGTGGAGTGGGTAGATAAAGATCTACTGAAAAGAGTGAATTGAAACCCAAATGTACTGCTTATCAAGCCAAAACACCACTGAAAATGTTTATGTTTGGCAAGGAATTTCTAGAACATTTGACATTTGAATCCAATAGGTACAGGTTACAAAATCGTAGCAAAATTAATTAATCACAGTCGATGAAATAAAGGTATTTGGGGGGGGGTCTGTATGTACATGTCAGTTGTAGATTTACCATTTAGAAGATGGCAATGATCACTGAAAACAAGGCAGGAAATGATTTCAAATACAATGACCGTAAATAGTTGGGAAGAGATTTGTATGCATGTACATATATGCATGCTGTCCACTGTAGTGAACAAACTGTAGCAATTATTTAAAATGAAATTTGAATATTTTTTTTAAATTATTATTACTAAAATTATTTTAAGTAGAAAAAATACAAACATTTTCGTTTAACTTCTCTAGATTATTTGTATGCAACAAAGGGTTAAGTATCCCACAGCCATCGGTAGGTAGTTACGCTATTCACTTGTAGCAGACAAGCCCATTTTTCATCAAAGTTTATTTTACAATTATACTGTATTGTATTTTGTTCCTTTTTATGTAACGAACATTGCTCTACAATAAACAATTCTGTTAACAGAATTTCAAGATTATGTACTAAAAATATTTTGATTTATATCAATTACCATAAAAATACACTGTCACACTCAAGTGTGACATTATAAGAGCTGTGCACCTTTTCAATTGTTTCATTTTACCAAAAAAGAATTAGATGCCAAATTTAGAACATTTTTATATTATTTGGAAAAAATGCTTCAAGAACTTTACAAACACATATTTTTAAAGACTCTTAAATTGAGCTCTAAATTTAATTTAAAGATTATATTATATTTTGTTTAATCTTTCTAAATTAATTTTATGTGTTTTTTATATACAGTCAAAAGTCTTTAATCCGGACTCGTCGGGACTTCGGCGATTCCGGATTATAGATCATCAGTTTAAATCTGGTAAGATGGCATGCAGAAATTATAAAATTAAAAATATAAAACCGTAATTTATAAAATAATGAGCAATTATGATCTAAAGGGTATCAAAATTTACAAAAAAAGAAGCTTAATATTTATTTGTTTACTTTATTAAACATTTCTTTCAACGCGCGCATGCGTAAAGCATATCTTACGCATAGCCGAAATTAGAAAATTGCAACCAGAAAACTATTTGATTTGTATTCGTGATATTTATAATGACGAGGAATTTGATTTAAATCATATCAATGACGGAGTACATCGAGATTAAATACTACATTCAGTAAGGAATTATAAGCCGAATAAAATAAAAACATCTTCCCTGAAGATAACGATAGTGCTGACAGATCAACTTCCAGTTCATTGCGCGCCTCGACGTCCCCCCTCCCCCCGCGCAGTGCAGCATTAAATTGATAAACAGATTTCGGAACAGTTAGATAAACAAAGGATATGGCTTTATCCATTTTTTGTTTGATGGATATCGAAACATACTTTCGTTCGGATTATGGGTGTCCGAATTAACGACTTTTGACTGTATTCAGATATGAGAAAGTTCATGAATCAATGACAGGGCCTAGTGAAACCTATATGTTATGTCCCTGAAGCAATTCATTTGCTTTCTAATTGGAGTTGCATATATTTACACAAAATTTCTCTCCCTTTGCTAATGCTCTAATGCTTTTCCTTCAAAAGGCTTTTTTTATTGCCTCTTAAAGAGGGAAATATGTATGATATAAAAATATAATGGAATATTAATAACAAATTACTAACTAAATTGACAATAGCCCTTTAAATTCCTAATTCCAATTTAAATACACCCCCCTTCATTTTGCATGACTTATCTGTACTCCTTTGCAAAGTAAAAATTCTTACCCAATCGCTGTCCAGAACTCAAAGAAATTTCCGAGCTATAAACGATAATAAGCCTCTAGCACTCATTTCAAGTTGAAAAAATATATTAATATTAAATAATTAATAAAAATATATTAATAGGCTGAGAGTACATGAATTACACATTAACAGGTTAGATTGCTAGTATATGTGTAAAAGGTATGCCCCTCCCCAAATGTATAATGGGAGAGAGACCTAGGTTTTATATAGAATTTAAATACTGATTTAAAATTTATGCTAATCTTATTTATCTTTTTATTCCTAGCCTTATTTGATATAATTGTGAGTTCTGACTTTGGGTGAACTCCTGCATATAGCCCAGTTGAAGGAAATATCATGTATACACATATATAGTACACTGATGATGATACTGCACACATTTAATCTTGTCCAATATATTTTTGCATGGAAGAATATTTACACTACTACAAGGAAAATTAGATGAAACATTGCTGGTAAGTACAAATACATTCAAATAAATTTCCTCAATATACAGGGCCGGATTTAGACTTGATAAGGTCCTACGCTATTTGAGATATGGGGCCCTTTATTAAGTCTGCTATGCTATATTTTAATACTATATTCATACTATATTTTAATTTTTGTGGGGGCCCCAAGCTATAGCTTGTAAAGCTTATACGTAAATCCTGCACTGTCAATATATAATAATGGCATTAGAATTTATTCAAAATTCTTTGAAAATGGTTTGAAGTAGTTTAATATTTATACACATAAATCTTAATTTTCTATATTTATAATCAAATAAATTCTCCCTAATTAAACAATAAAAAATACTTTGAATAGTTTCATAAACATAAAAGTGCACATTTATTAAAAATATTCATATTTAATTTTTTATGAAGTTGCTAATATGATAATTATCTTGGAATTGTTATTTTAAATTTTGGAAAGGCTGATAAGTATTCTAACATATGGAAGTAAATTTTGATATTCCATACCCTAAAAACTTTGAAATTATTATACATAGCATAAAATCTTTACCCATTACAACTTGCTTTACAGCCTTCCTCAAACTCTTCATGTCTTAAGACCTGAGAGAAAAAGAGAAGGGAACATTATTATTCAAAAAAGATATGTAATCAAATATATTCAATATTTCTCAGCTGTTGCTCACATTTAAAAGAAAACTCACACATTTCTTATATTTCCCTTTCTAGTTTTCTTGAAATTAATCACAATTTTAAACTTTGGGTCTGCAAAAACTATCCAAAAAGCTTCTTCCGAAAGCTGAACTGGATTTTCTTGAAACACTTTTTCATTGGTGAACTAGATTTTTCACATTCACAAAAACTAAGGTTGCTTAGTTAATGACTTTAATTTCAATCCAGTCTTTCCTCATGCTTTGAAAATTCTATTAACTTAAATTTTCAATTTTCCTTACTATTTCTGCGAACATATTCTTTTAGGTATTAATACACTCTACTTCTTTTAGGTATAAATACAATATAATTGTCAGTTCTGACTTTAGGTGAGCTCCTGCATACAGCCCAGTTGAAGGAAATACCATGTATACACATATATAGTACACTTATGATGAACTGTGGCTTTCCTCTCATTGCAGATTTCAATGCTCTAGATGAAGGGAGGCTTGTGCCTTCTTGCTCTCAAAATCAATACAGTTTTGACTAAAATCTAAACCAAATAAAAGATTGTTACTTTGCCTAATGTTATGCTCGAACAACTTTGATCTTTGTTTGGCAATCAATCCCCTTTCAAACACCAGCCGATTTCACTGTATCTGTTTTTTGCAGTTATAGATACCATCGTACTTAGGATTAAGAAAAGGCATTTTTTCCAGATTAATTGAGATTCCACTTTCAAGACAAAGAGGTTGTTGAGAAATACAAGATTTTGACTAACAGCTTAGTTAGAATTCTCAGCAAAACAATTACTTGTAACAGAATTTTTAATTGAATAAGAAACTGTTTCTCTCTATCAAACTAAACAGAGAGTATTAAAACAAAAAATGAAATAGCTTATACAACTTACACTAAATAAAATATTTAACAGAACAAACAAATAAATATTGAGCTTGCTTTTATGAATTTTGATTTTCTTAAGGTCTTATTTCACATACAACTAATTTATATTTTGGTACTTTCGAATTTCCACACCATCTTTCTGAAAAATCACTACCCATTGGCAACTAAATTTTCACTAAGCAAAGACACGAAAGACAACAACCATTTTCAAACACAGTACCATACTAAGAATTACATAAAACAACAAACAATTAACAAAATTGAAAACACAAGAAACATACATAATAAAACATTTTCCTCTTTTTTTGCTCTGCTCTCCTCATGCACACAACAGAGATTTGTTTAAAGAACTGCAAAAACTTGGCATCATGGCACAACATGGCATTGCACATGCTGTCATTTGCTCTATATACACAGCCGATTTATTTTTACTTATTCAAAAAAAAAAAAAAAAAAAAAAAAAAAAAAAAAAAAAAAAAATGACAAATTTTGTATTTTGCATGTGTTTTTAAATGTAAACAGCAATCTGTACATAATTGCACAAATTCAGCATTGGTGCACAAATTTTGATCCAGAAAATTCTATTATTTCTCTAATAAAAACATCACAGAATGAAAGTTTTTGCAGTCTTTACTCTAACGCAAAATGTCCTATTTTTGAAGGAATGCAATACTTAACACTTCCAATAATATTCCTTACAAGAAAAAAAAATGCACTCAATGCAAGAAAAACATTCATGACCACTGCTCACCTGCTGCATACGCATGCACACTGGGATGCCATATAAATACATGGCTAATCTTTGGAATATGGTAACAGGTAGTTTGGCGACATTTTGGTGAGGCGATAATGGTTACTAGCTAGGACTTTAGCAGTGTACATGGATAAAGTAAAGAGTGTGGCAATGCCATTTTTGTGCAATTCTACGATGTTTTTTCAAGTGAAAAATAGGTCGACACGTACATGGATACCGTGTATGTGCAATTCTTAAAACCGCTGCAAGCAGTTTGCAATTCTGCACTTTCTCCCAATTTCGCACCTAATCTTCGCCGCGATTAAGCATTTTTGTTCCATAAAAGTTCTAGTATAAGCATAGTTAAGCTAGCAGATTGTCGGAAAAAATGTTGAGTAAAAAAAAAAAAACCATGCCTTTACTTCGTGAAAACAAAATGGCGTCCAAAACAAAACTAGCAGGTTGCTGTAGCAGGGTTGGTCGCTAAATTTTCGCCAAGTTACCATAATCCGAAGATTAACCAAATACATTTAGTGACTTCACCGTGTAGCATCCCTTTTCTTCTCAAGGAACTTGGGGACATGAAAGACCAGTCCTAGCTTAATTCACCATGTCAATCATAAATGTTCACAAGGACGAGAACTTTGTTCTTTGTTCAGAAAGGGGGCAGAAGAAACCTCTCCTCACCTCTGCGGGAAGGGGTGGCCTTTTCCCACAACAGAACGTGCGAGTTAAAAGAGGAAATTGGAATTTGAACATGAAATACATGCACTATCTCTGTAGTAAAAAAAATATATTTAACTATAATTCATAATAATTTATAGTAAGAAAACTTTCCATGTATCATCTCCAAGGAACACAAATTCAATTAAAACCATGAAAGAAAAAAAAATTTTTTTTTTTTAGTCAGAATTTTAAACAGTAATTTCAACTTCTTGTTTAAAAATCAGCTAAGAAAAATCTTAAATCACAAAAATACCAAAACCAAAGGTAAATTCTAAATTGAAAAAGTAGATATTGTCACTGATTGCAGATTAATCGACTTATCAAGGGGATAAACCAATCTTCCATCAATTAACAACAACTAAATTAAGAAATGTTTCATCTTACTTCCAAGTAAGCATCAAATTATTTGCTAGGTTCAAACCATAAGTCAAATTTAATACTCAATCCAAATAAAGCCATTAGTCCATTTAAAGCCAATAATCTAGTTAAACAAAATAGCAAATAATCTTCAAATTAAAGTTTCTATTAAGAACACATTTAATCTGAATGAGATACTTACTTTAGAAGACACTCTCATTTCAGTTTCAAAAACAGAAGCAAACATTAAAAGTTAATTCAAAACCATAAGAAGATCAAAAATGATACAACCTCAAAATTAAAGACATGTATTTAAATACAAATTTTAAAGATCAAACTAGTAAGTTAAAATTAACAAACTTGCTTTCAAAAATTTAAGACCAAATGGCTGGAAATTCAAGTACAGTACAAAGTCTGTAATCCGGACATTCATAATCTGAAATGATCTATAATCCGGATTTCAAAGCTACAAACTGCACATGCGTTTAATGTATAACGGATGGTATAAGCTAGGCTAAAATTATCTAAGGCATTTCAGCTAATGTTGCAGATTGTGCTGTTCCTTAATCTTCTAATTGGATCCGACTTATTATTTTTTGCAGTTTGTTAGAACAATTTTATAAAAATTAAGCTTGAGCTTTCGATTATGTCAAAAAGAGTTTCCAATTCTGGAGCTGCCAAAGGATCTAGAAAGCGAAAGCATGTTTTGATGTCCATTAAACAAAAAGTGGAATTACTGCACAAAACAGACAAAGGCCTATACGTCTCAAAATTATGCGAGAAGTATGGCATTGGAAAGTCCACTATATATGACACAAAAAAAAGGAACTTTTTGAATTTTTTGTGGAAGCATCTTAAACAACTTACAATGAAAGAAATGTTTAATAAAGTAAACAAATAAATATTAAGCTTTTTTTTTTTTTTTTTTTTTTTTGTAAATTTTGATACCCTTTAGATCACAATTGTTCTTCATTTCATAAATTACGATTTCATATTTTTAATTGTATCATTTCTGCATGCCATCTTACCAGATTTAAATTGATGATCTATAATCCGGAAAAAACCCCTAATCCAGAATCGCCGAAGTCCCGACGAGTTCAGATTACGGACTTTGTACTGTATTAAGTGATGGAAATAAAATGGTTATCGTAAAGTGCAGTTTTCTATTTAAAAATTTTTAGCCTAAGTTGGGGAGAAAATGTATACAGTAGTGGCCAAAATTGTGGACACTTTTGGAAATTTTTATGTTTTTGAACTTTGTATGCTTATAGAAAACGTTATGTTTCACAAAATGCAAACTTGTATATATCATTTTAAAGAGAATTTATTACTGAATTCAATACAAAACACAAAATTCAATTATTTGCAATACAAAAAAAGTTAAAAGATAATAGTTATTGATATACATTAGATAGTGATGATTGCAATGAGTTATCAATACTTAGTAGGGTACCCTTTATTTTTTATTACAGCTTCACATCGCCGTTTCATTGAGCTGACAAGAGTTTTGAGCTCTTCTTTCATTATTACATGATGCCAGGAAACAATTATAGCCTCAATTAGTTCCCTTTTATTTGATGGACTCCTCATTCGGACAATAGTTTTCAAACGGTGCCACAAATTTTCGATAGGATTGAGGTCAGGACTGTTTCCTGGTCATGACAACAATTTAATGCTCTTTGTACGAAACCACTCTTTCGATATTTTGGCCGTGTGGCAAGGAGCAGAATCCTGCTGAAAAATAAACAAAGTATTGTTGGGAAAGAGATCTCTGATGGAAGGTAGTAGTTTTGGTTCTAGAATAGTATCAATGTATTTTCTGGCATTCAGTGTCCCATCGATGATATGAAGGCAACCAATACCATCTGCTGACATGCATGACCAAATCATAACACTAACTGGGTTCTTCACAGTTGCTTGAATGCAGTCAGGATGTAGCTCTTCTCCTATTCTACGTCTTACATATTTTCACCCATCACTACCGAATAACGATATCTTAGTTCCGTCACTCAATATAACTTGTGACCACTGATCATCTGTCCAATTAATGTGTTCCTTTTCCCACTGCAGTCTTTTTTTTCGTTGCTGAAAATTAAGATAAGGCTTTTTTCGTGGAATTCTACCTCTCAGTCCGACATCTGTTAATCTTCTCCTGATTGTTCTTGAACTGACAGAAACACCAGCATCATTCAGATCACTTCTGATGCCCACTGATGACATTTTTCTATCTTGG